TCTTCACCACTTATAGTGTAATTTGAATCCACTGGTTCTATACGTATATGTTGCATACAGACAGATATGCAGAAACCCTAAATAATTAAGCTTGAAAGGTTACAACTGTTCTGTTCAATGCATTTAATCAAGGGGTTTTATTAAACACTTCAAAACATTCATAAGACCTGTACAGCGATTGAATTATGAATTATCTTCTATTCATTATGAATTTATCTTCTATTCTAAACCAAAATTTGGTTGACAAATTCCAGCTACGAAATATGATGAGGAAAGAAGACCAGTAACAGAAGAAAGTATCTGAACATGAAACCGCTCCTCCAAACGAAATGGTAGCACTAAATGTAAAACACACAGCATCATTAAAGTTGACTTCATTTGAAACAATGGGATAAAAGGACTTTCTGAAAATAGAAAGCCCCAGTAGGTTAATTACTCTGGGTGCAAGCTCATATAATATTTTGTGTGAGTCAAATATATACCTGAACTATGATTCTCTAGAGCAAAGAACGCAGGCTGGAGTATGAAAGCCTGGAGGCCATGGATGCTGTCTGTTATTGGCGTTGCTGGTATCGAGGATGCTTGTCAGAGAGGAAAGGCCTCTGTCAGCCATGCATGAGGCCCATAAATAGTGGCAGACACCAAGGGCTGTGTAGGGGTGCTTTGTAGACAAAAATGAATCCCTATTGGATTTGACTGTAGGAGCAGAAGAGAAAGTGGTTCACTAACTATGTGTTCACCAAAAGATGAAAGAGCAGCCAGAGGAACTGCAAGACTGGATGCTTCCCACATGGATAAGGAAGATGGGGATGGAAATCTAGCCTCGTGCTGAGTAGAATTTGTGTGGAAACTTAATTTGAGCTGAAAAGCATTTTTCCCCACTTAAAATATCTTCTGGGGATAATTAGCTGCCCAATTATTAGTTAAGTTCTGAAATACAATATGGTTGATTTGGCTGATCTTTTTGTCTGGTCCAGGGCATCTCTGCATTTCCATCAGCAGAATGCAATAAGTAAAACAGGATAAAACCTATAATTATGACTTTTTTGTGTATTGATGACCATTGGCTCCCCTGTGGCCCCTTCCCCCGCCCCCCACCCTTGTTTTATCAAGAATGCAGTTCTTTGGCCTTCTGAGAAAATCTGTAATATCAGGGAACTTCATACTTGCATTATTGAGTTCAGACCCCTCATTGTATGATCCCGGAAACTGGGATTCCTAGATGTTAAAGGAACCACACACCCAGAGCCAGAAGCCATGGATTTGCATACACTTTGTAACACAGCCCTGATAGTCAGAGGCCAAACCTAAGCCTGAGAACATGATACTTTATACTTGTTGCTAGCTTCTACTTCACTTTCTGCTTCTATGCCTGTCTACATCTGTCTTTTCCCAAGAAAGTCTGATTTACCCCACACTATAGGCCTGACGTCTCTGTTAACATTTTGGTCAACCTTAGGTGGATAAAGAATTACGATTTCATATTATACTCATCAATTGATATAAGAAAAATAATTGAGGTGTATGTAATCCATGTAACACTTGAAGAAAAAGTCCAATATATTCATAATAAATCACAAATGAAAATTATGTGTCTTAATAATGACAACGATATGACATAGTTAAGATTTTATGTCAAATAGTTCTCAATTCAACTAGGAATAAACACTTTCAGAAACATGTTTTAATGCTGGCTATTTTATGTGAAACCACGAGATCCCGTTTAGAGGAGATCTATAATATTACTTTCCTATTAGGGTTATCAGCCTAAATGGGGTTATTTTACTGGATTTCATATGTGCTGCAGATCCTGCTGGGAAGGCATAAAACTGGGCTCATTTAGGAAGAGGCAATGGAGCTCTCAGAGAAACATTGCCATATGTGAAACCTCACTCAATGCCTGTTGAAATTTTTGTATTTCAGATCTCCCAGGGATAGGTCCATTGTGCTATTGTATAATTTGATCAGCATGAACTTCTGCTGAATATTTCCTCTTCTTTTCAAAACCCATATTTTGGTAGAGCTAACTTCAAAACTTAATGTTGCAACATCTGTGCCATACACCAGGGAGCCATCAAAGATGTATCCTGAAGATTATCTACAGTTTCTAATCTTATAGAATGCCACAGAATGAGAGAAAAAGGTTATACATTTTTTTCCTGGTCTGAACATTTTTTAAAGCAACAGCTTTCTGTCTCCTTGGATTCCCAAAATAAAAGAGAGCCCATATATCCTAAAGCTATACAGACTATCCCTGCAAATGTAATAGAATATTCATTTGTTTTGTTTGTAGATTGGGGTAATTCTTAATATGGTGGTGCAACTTCCCATTAAGAGACACTGTGAATATATAGAAAATGTGGAGCTATAGTCTCAAGTGGCTGTAAATGAGGTTCTAACTCTGTAGTCTAAAGAAAGCAACCAAAAAAATTGTCCTGTATTTGTACTTTTATTCCATGGGTCTACCAATAGATCAATGGCATCTTCTTTTACAAATAGAAATTATGGTTGGATCAGCATTTCTCCAACAGAAGATTGACATCTTGACAAAGAGAAAGGGGTTTCTGAATAGAAAGAGATGCCTCTCTCCTCACCTTTCAGTAATTGTTCTATCTTTATAGAAAAGAATATACATATTGAAACTGCCTGCAGGAGATGGTGCCGAGAAGGAGCTGTGCAGAACAATTTTTTGTTGAGGGAAACCATGAAGTTTTTATGAATTCAAAACAGTTAGGAAGGATGATGAATGGGCTTGAGAAGCTCCACATGCACATCCTCTTGACTTTGTTGTCAATTTATCACAGTATGAGAAACACCAAACATGGAGTGCTTTCTGTGTGGCAGGTATTATAATTTCTGTACATGGGTCAACTGACTAAAGTTTCTCCTCAATCATACGTGACAGGTGATTTTGTTGTCACCATCTTACAGATGAGGAAACTGAGGCATGGAAAGTTTAAATAACTTGCCCAAGGCCACCCAGCTTGTTAACAAGGGGAGAGTTACCACACACACAGCACCCTGAATCTACATTGCCCCACTTTCCTTTGGTGACTTTTTTTATGTGTAGCAAGCTAGCTACCTATTAACTTTTACTTTGAAGCAAAGAATAAGGCAATAAGGGGATGCGTTTTACGTTATTTCAAATTTAAACAGGAATATGCAAGGCAGAGCCATGTTAAGTATCTCTGGTAAGGAAGAAGAGGGAAAACTAGTCCACAGACATTATTACTCTCCTGCAGTGAAAAGTCACATTTCAAAAAAAAGAAACCCAACTTCAAAGTTGCTACAAGCAAGTAGCAGAATTTGACTTCACTTCTGATGTGTCATTCTGCCATTTGCTATAGAGCACTGGCATCCCTACAAGGGAAAGGGAGGTGGGTATTTAACTGTTCAGGAATTGGAGGAGGGCTCGATGCCAGAGAACCCAGGGAAACCCAGCAGGGTGTGCTGAATGACAGCTTTTCCCATGCAGGTCAAGTTAAAAAGAAGAAAATGTGGGGCGGCTGGGTGGCTCCATTGGTTTAGCGCCCGACTCTTGGTTTGGCTCACGTCATGATCAACTCTCTCTCTCTCTCTTTCCTTCTCTCTCTCTCAAATCTCTCTCTGCCTTTCTCCTCCTCTCCCTCTCAAATAAATTACTAAACTTAAAAAATAAACAAACTGAAAAAAAGAAGAAAATATGCCAGATGTTTGATGTCCCTCATTTGCATGTCTTGAGGCACAATATACAAAGTAAATGATTTCTGCTATAGAGAAATTAAGCAGGCGGGCAAGACATTGTGTATTTTACACTTTAGAAGTACAACTAAAGGGAGCAGTGATATGTATCTGTGTCTGAAGTTAGGGTTGTATCAATTCTCTGTTACCATCGCAGGGCTTAAAATACTCCAGATATGCCATTTACTAGACTTGCTAAAACTTGGTGTCATGAACCTGAACTAGGATGGAAGAATATTGTGCCCTAAATGCAGTGGAAATGTTTAAAAGATGTCAAAATTACTAACCCGGCTCAGTAATTAAACTGTGTCAATGCCCCTTGCCAAGAAGAGTTCATAGTTTGGAGGCAGTAGTTACTATTGACCTGCTTTCACTACTGAGATCATGTCTGCCTTTTAATTTGGAAACAAAATTGATCCCTGTGTTCTAAAAAGAGGGGCTGTCAAGTTATTACTTTGTAACTGCTTTGCAAACACATATTTATTTAAGAGCAGCATGACTTATGGTATAATATACCAGACAAATTATTTCAGTTTTTATTTCATATTTGAGATTCTTTTAAGAGATTAATTTATACTTAAAAATGGAATTCATCAAGTTCTTCAATAAACACTAAATTTCTTTGATAATAGTTCTTAAGATAGACACTTTAAAAAGATGTCTGTCTTTCTCCAATATATTGGTTTCATGGCCCCAATGGTGCTTTAAAATTTACAAAGTATTCGTTTGTCCTATGGCTTCAGAAATCATTATAATGCTCACTTATTTTTTTTTTTTAGCAGTATTCAATTTTATTGGATCCTAGTATTAGTGGATAAAGCCTGCAATTGGGAAGGTTCATATAATGTGTATATTTTACATAAATTGCTTCCTTAATCACTGCCATATGAAGGACGACGGAAGGAAATCAATACAGAAAGTTTATTGTGTGTTTTAAAGTCATCTCAGACGCTCTAAGGCTCTTATCCATCTAGTCCCTAATTTCGATTTCTTATAGACTTTCTCAATGCTGTAATTTCTAAATTAAATTAAATCAAAATGAATAATAAAAATATCTTCAAACTATTTGGAAGGACAACAACAAAAAACTGTTACAAATATCTTCTTTTGCTACTTCTAGATTATTCTACTCTCACAAGAAGGCTGAGGATGAAAGAAATGTTCATATTCTCCCTTCACAGGCTGTTCTTCCTGGATGATAACTGATGGTTGCATTCTAGGCAAGAGTCCAAAGAAATTGTTTACTCCTGACGGGTCAATTAAAGAGCAATCCTACCTACCTTTTTCACCTTCTTTTTCTTCTTGGTCATCTGTTAGCGGGATCACTTCTGGTGGCTCCACAGTTGTAGCATCTTCTTGGTTTGTTGAAAGCTCTAAATAGAAAGAGCCGGAAGGACACTCAGGGATGTTTTAATTGGAATCACTGAGAGAACACAGTGACTAGAGCAGAGAAACTTCACATTCTTTTTTTTTTCCCTCCAAGTTTTAACAGGCACACAAAGCAGAACACTATCGCCATTCTCCAGAAATCATTGCCTGAAACACGGATGCACACACTCACATGCACGGGATATACAGAAGTCATGGTTCAGTTTCATCTCATTCTCTAACAACACATTCTGGTTTTAATACCTTCAGTTTCCATATGTGAGCTCTGGGACTCCGCCTCAATTTTTATGTCATTCTTCGTTGAATCATGTTCTTGTCCTGTTAAGAACAATGATTGAAAAATAAAAAAATGAAAAAAATGAAACATGAATGACTGTAGCTTTATCCCTGGTTTGAAAAAGCAAAAAATTCAAAAGCCATCTTTTGATCATGCATGGAGAGGCAGAGAACAGTTTTGAACCAATGTGGACATCTTTGCAAATCATCAAATTTATGCTATTTATTTTATAAGAGCTATCTTGACAATTAGGCAAAACCCTCTTCTTTGAACCGACTGGTGTAATTGGTATTTAGCTTATCAATGTGCTGAATATTGAGGGGCACAACCTGGAACTTTTGAAATTTTAAATAATTCCTGGGCTGTATGGGTTATCTATACTTAATTTCCCTTTAAGATACAGACATTTCCTGTATTGAGGACTCGTAGAAAATGAAAACACTAGTATTCTCATTCGTCCATTAAATGAGCATGAAAAACATAAGTAATGTGAGCACACAAGGATGTGTGCTCAACCATTCTGTTAGGTCACCTACTAAATATAGCAACGGTCAGGAGAGTGCTCAGCCAACTCTTGATTACTCTAAGGCTGATTATCTAGTAATGATTTTTTCTTCCACACACCCCTGGTTTCTCCACCTTTGTTCCCCCACCCCTGTAGAGTTTAGAATATTTAAGTGCTCATTAAGAGAGGAAATTGAAATCTGTCCATTTGCCTCATTTTAATGAAAGATTTTATGCCGAGGATATTTATTTATTTTTTTTAATGCTGAGAACATTTAACTGTTGATTTAAAAAAAATCCAGAGCTCAAGTTGATTATAGGCAAGAAGGGGATGTAGAGGGGCTTGGGCTTTCCCTGGGCACATCCCTGTGGTAGATGGCACTATTGTTATAACTTGCCCCTACTTCTTCCCATAAGAGGATTCTAGCTCCATGTCTTTGACCATGTGACCTGCAGTGGCCCCTGGGGAACAAGTGTTTGTTCCCACCTCACTGACACTAAGCCAATAGGGTGACTTGGTTTACAAAATGGGATAGCAACACACATGATGGATACTACATTTGATCAGAAGTTTCAAGGTCCATTGCATGTTTCCTCCATCTTTCTTACTCCTAATAGAGTGTGTGCCTTCAGGTTTATATCCTGGAATGAAAACATGTGGAGCAGAACCAAGCAGAGACACAACAAATCTTTGTTACTGTAAGCCAATGGGACTTTTAAGATTATTTGTTACTGCAGCAAAGCTAACTGATACAACTCTTTATAGTTTCCTCTTTAATACAACTCTTCTTAAGCTGCTCACTATATGGCTTCCCCTTGGTTCATGCTCTGCTAGCATGACCTAAAAAAGAAGTTTCTTGACATCACTCTTCTTGAGCTTGATTTTAATCAAAAGGATCTGATAAAATAATTACAACTTTGGCATATTTATCTGTCTGACCACTGAAGCTAAATATCTGAAGCTGTCTTTGATGACCTTCTGTCATCACTCCTAAAATACAATGCAATGGCAAGTTTTGATGATTCTTTAATGTTTCTCTTCTTCCACTTTCCATTTCCCCTGCCCCTTTCCTCATTTAGGGATATATTATCTGTCTCTTGGATCTGTCATTTTCTTCTCCTGTGGTCAATCTTGTGAATTGGTAGCAGAAATATCTTTTAAAACATAGATTTGACCAAGATGTTTCCCCTGCTGATAAATCCCACTCACTTCCATTCCTCTCTATTGCTACTTAAACTATGGTCCCTGATAAGTAACACTGGATTTCAAAAATATAGGAGTTTGGGTCTCATCTCAGACCTAGAGTCCGATTCTGCATTTTAACAAGATTTCAGGGTGTCTGTATGTTCATTAACACTTGAGGAGCACTGGCCCAGAGGATATATGTGTATCTGCAAATTGTTTATCCTATAAAAAAAATGCTAAACTTGGCCTAGACACTTCACGTATATTATCTCCAATGATCACACTAGCCCTGCAACATAAGTATTGTGAGCCCCATTCTGCTTTCAAAATTTTCAACTGGGTTTATCTGACTATACATCCCTTTTTGCTTTCCATTTTGCCTGGAAAATGTCTTTATTTTGCCTCTGAATTTTTGTTTATTTTAATTAGAGAGAGAGAGGACACATGGGGGAGGGTCAGAGATTGGGAGAGAGAGAGAGAATCCAAGCAATCTCCCAGCTGTCAGCATAGAACCTGATGTGGGGCTCAAACTCAAGAACTATGATTCATGACCAGAACCAAAGTCGGTCACTTAACCTACTGAGCACCCCCGCCCCCCAGATGCCTTTGCCTTTTAATTTTTAAATTGAGGAATATATTTGCTTATAGTAAAACACACAAGTCATAAGTATATAGCTTGATGACTTTTCACATACATATATACATGTGTCTCCCTACGCGATCATCATCCAGAACAAGAACACTTCTAGCACTAGTGGCTCCCTCTGTTGGTACCTATGGATACCCCCCATTAGGTGAAAGGTAACAATGGTGTCTGTTTTTGAAATTCATAAAAACAGAACATACACTATATGCTCTCGTGTAGCTTACTTTTTTCACATGTCTTCCTTGAGATTGATCCTAGTTGTTGTATATGTCAGTTGTTTGGTCTTTTTGCATTGATGTCTACTATTCCACTATTTGAATATATTATGTCATATGGATGTTGAATTGTTTTTAGTTTGGAGCTATTATGAATAACATTGCTAAAAACATTCTTGTGTGTGTGTGTGTTGGTGGATATATGTATTTGTATCACTTGGGTATAAACCCAGAAGTGAAATTGTTAAGTAAGAGACAACACATGTTTGGCTTTACTAAATCCTGACAAATAGCATTCTGAAGACTTTGTTTCCACTTTACACTCCCACCAGAAATGTGTGAGAATTCCATGTGTGCCCTTTCTCCTCTAGACAATGTCGTGATACTGCTAGTCACAAAATTCTTTAATATGGAGGAGACACCTGTGCAAAATCTTTTCCCCAAAACCCATTTCCACTCTTTTCACCTTTGGGTATCATATTAAGTGATGATGCCACACTATCGGTCACTTATTTTACAAATATTATGTGGTACAAAATGGCCGTTATATCTGGTGTTGGGAGTAGATCTTAAATAAAACAGATACAATACTTATCCTTAAAATACATAGTTGCAAGGAAAAAGGCACTAAATATGCATGAAGTTCTTTCTAATAAGATGTGAAACAGAATTCAAATTTATGAAAAATTCACTTTTAGCAGATTTTCAGTTCACAGGAAACTGAGAGGGATAACTACTATATTGAACAATAAAATTAAGACCAAAGTACTCTTAAATAGAACAAGTGAAATGAGATAAAATTTGATGAGGTAAATGTTAAATTCTAAAATCAAGCTTATAAATTCAGCTTCAAGGAATGGGATGGGAGGAAATCCATCCTATTTCTTTTTTTTAATGTTTATTTTTGAGAGAGAGAGAAACAGAGCCTGAGTGGGGGAAGGGCAGAGAGAGAGACACGCACACAGAATCTGACACAGGTTCCAGGTCCCGAGCTGTCAGCACAGAGCCCAACATGGGGCTCGAACTCACAAACTGCGAGATCATGACCTGAGTCAAAGTTGGATGCTTAACCAACTGAGCCACCCAGGAGTCCCTTATCAATCCTATTTCTGATAAAACTAGAGCCACAGGTTTTGCATTCTAGTTTTATTCTAGATAAATACTGGATAGATAGTAGAATGGCTGGATGGAGAGAAGGATTATATCACATAGAAAGTGAAGGGGATTTCTCAATTTATTTTCCGGCAAACATCTTGCCTGGATAGCTATTTCAAACGAACAGGGGACTTAAAAAATGAAACATACGGGGCGCCTGGGTGGCTTAGTCGGTTAAGCGTCCGACTTTCGCTTAGGTCATGATCTCGCGGTTCGTGGGCTCGAGCCCCGCGTCCCGCTCTGTGCTGACTGCCAGCTCAGAGCCTGGAGCCTGTTTCAGTCTGTGACTCCCTCTCTCTCTGACCCTCCCCTGCTCATGCTGTCTCTCTCTCTCTCCTAGAAATAAATAAAAACATTAAAAAAAATGAAACATAAAAAAAGAGGAGGATTATATTGTAACAGAAAAATATTTTTATAAAAGATATATTCAGAAGAACAAAAAACACATACAGTGTTTTTGTGTTTGCAAAGAACTGATAAATAAGGAAATGAAAAGATGGATTGAATGAAGAGGATAGATATTGTCTGAGTCAATATGAAAAATCTACAAGCCTAAAAGCAGAATGACAGCATTAGCATCAGCGGTGGATGTCCTAAAAAAGAATAAACACTAAGATAAATTAATGGTTTAGAAATCAAACTTCTTAATTAAAATTCACTAAGAAAGCCAAAGTTAGGGAGCAAAAGGAAACAAAAAGATGACAAATATAGAGAACAGAAACTAGCAATAGAATTTCTAATTTAAGGATTTGAGGAAATCTAAGCAGCAACATTTTTTTATGTGAGAGTAACCATTAAAAAACACATAATGAGGTTTTAAAAGACTGTAGAACATAGAATATGGCTTCATTTTTTGTAACTAGGTACTCATCAAATGTGCCCTTATTCATGATAATATTCCCATTCATATCAATGGGAACAAAAACTAGGAAGGCTTTATCTCAAATGTTAACACTGAATCTTTGAATGGTAGGTAGGATTTTAATTTACAGGATTTTTATTTTGCTAACCTGCATTTTATATTTTACAACAAATGAATATAATATAATAATAATAATAATGAAACAATTTAGACAACAGAGAAAAATGCTTTCCATGATATCACAGAAGAAAAATTTGTAACCAAAAGATGTTTGTGTCTAGCTAAATCCAGTTACTTTTGCTCAGTGTCTATTCTATTTGAACTCTAAAAAATACTTGAAAAATTCAGCTGTTGAGTAGCTCTTTCTTCTTGAATGTCTCTTTTTTTAAATGCCTATTTATTATTTATTTTTGAGAGCGAGTGAGTGAGTTGGGGAGGGGTAGAGAGAGGAGAGAGAGAATCCCAACCAGGCT